AAGTTCTGCGAGCACAATGGATGTAAAAAGGATGTCATAGATAAATGTGACAGTATTAAAAAATCCCCATAAATGAAAAACCGAGGTCTTATAAGCATGATGATGGTCGGATTCTTTCGCACAGACAAATCACGGAGACTGACAACTGCCAATACGGCAATGCGTAAACACGCCAATTAGATAAGGGTTTTTACTAGTAATGAAATTAGATCGGGTGTGAAGTGAGCAAGGAGGAATTTGGTTGGCATAAATGCTCAGCTTTTTGGACTCTCAAGAGGTTGAAGTTCACTATAAATCAGCAACCGCATACACGCATATGCTGGTCTGCTTTAGCTGGCAATGTGACCTTCCCTGGCCTCTCAGGCCACACCATCGAAGTGATGGAGACTAGTCCTATTCATCAGACATGTTGGGTGGAGAAGGACCAAGACGGCGCAAATTACACCTACTACTGGCTAGGTCCGGACCAACGAAGAATTGCTGATGGTAGCAATCTGACCGTGGATTACGCTTTGCGCTCTCGCCATTCAGGAGCCTACACGTGTGTCGCTAAGTCCATGCAGGCTGCACATCGCGATCTAGAGGGCACCATCTTCGTTATTGTTTCGCGTAAGTCTCACTTACATCGCATTAGCAAAAGTTTCCTATAACTTGTTAACTGCATCGAACAAATTCAACTTACTTATGGATGTCAAATTTGCACTACTCCATCACCGTGGCTCCCATTAGTGGGAAGGGAGGAACCAAATTCATGAGGCGTGGCTTTACTTAATAAATTCATAAAATGAACATCTTCTCATGCGTTTGAGAAGAGTATGCTAAGAATGTGTGACCACCTTTAAAGTGCCACCAATTATGACAATGATTTGGGCACCCTTCTTGCGCCTACCTAAAAGCACCGTTCTCTCCACCAGACAATGCCCAATTCTCCTCTCATCATTCTTGGAGGTGCATTTAAGAGCAGGTTTCCCATAAAACTGTCCTTCATTAATCCACATATCCATTCATTTGCTTGCCTCTCCGTCCAGTGGTAGAATGATTCCATTAAGTAGACGCCCAAGTTTTTGGTTCGGTCATGAAGACTGTTTCACAGAATTGCACCACTTTTGAAGTCACCGAATAACATGGCTCCTACAAAAAATCGTTGCTCCATATAATATAATCTTATGAGGTTGGACTTGGAGTAGTGAATAGAATCAGGATTACTTATATGGTTGCTAGCTTAGGAAAGGGAAGCAAAGTTATGTGATTTGCTCAAGCACTAATGGGAGCTGTGTCTCATAAGAATGAAAAATGTTCCTGAAACCATAACAGTGCATCCGGAAGTACCAGATCAAATTATGAATGTATTCCTTCTGTTTAAGGTCTGGC